CACATATAAGGAAACCCATTGTAGTATGGTTAAAGAGTAAAAAGTTGAAGAAAACTAACTTTATCTCAAAAATTTCGTTTATTCACACAACTGGAAAGGACACCAGAACTGAAACAAATGAATAATAGAAATCAGTGTATCCTACTGCAGTTGCTAGAAGATATGACAACAGTATTTCAAATATCAGCAGGGTCACTCATAGTGGACAATCAATGGAGATGAAACTACGAGGGTGAATCTAAAATTATCCCCACTCTGGGTGAAGAATTTATTTTCATCAATTCTTAGAGAAGACAAAGGCATCATTTTTCAACATAATCTCCTTGCTTTTCAATACACTTTGTCCACCTGTCAACAAGCCTCCATACTCCCATATTAAAAAAATGTTTCAGGCTGAGCTGCAAGCTGTCTTGACTTCTTCATCAGAGGTGAATCTTCATTCTCCATGGGTTGCTTTCAGGGGACCAAAGAGGTGAAAGACCCATGGAGCAAGATCAGGAATATAGAGAGGATGCTTTAACACCTCAAAAAGAAGTTTTTGCAGAGTGTCAACAGTGTGAATGTGCATTGTCATGCAAGATCACAGCATGCTGGGAAACAATTCTCTGCCTTTAATCCTTTAGGAGCATCTCACTGTAAGGAGCACTGTTGATTGTTGAACCTTTTCCTGATAGTGTTCCAATACTGGCCTTTGAGGATCCCAGGAAACCATAAGCATCAAGTTTCCAGCAGATGGTTGTCCTTTGAGCTTTGTCTTGGTCAGCGATTGAGGGTGATTCCACTACACACTCTGATGCTTACTCTCAGGCTCTTAGTGATGGATGCAGGTCTTGTCACCAGAAACATTTTTTCATAAGAAACTTTTACTTTCCTTTGAGTATTGGTCCAAATTTTGTTTGCAGATTTTGTTTGTTTATGCTCTTCCATGAGCTATTCCGGTACTCATTTTGCACAAACTTTTCGAAACCCAAGTCTGCCATGAACTATTTCATAAGCAGAGCCATGGCTTTCCATACACTCCACTGTCACTGTCTTCCCAACAGAATCATTTCATGTACACGCCCAGTGTCGTCATCAGTCATGGACATGGGCAGGTGTTTTAACATAACCACCGTGCGGATATTTTTTGACTCACCCTCGTAACACAGACTAGGAAACACTAGGAAAAAGGAACTGGCAATCTAACTTCTTTAAAAAATGGTAACTGAACACCTTCTGAGTAACAGTGGAGCTCTGTCTGGTACAGCGCAGGAAGACAAGCCCCACAGGTTAGAAGACAATCAAAATACGACTGGGGAGGAGCTGCCTCCTCAAAATAGAGCCCACCTTACTGATGGACTAAAGCTCTCAACACTTTAATCTGCTGATGTGGCACGACTCAAAATGGGAAGATACAGCTGCGACATCCATTAATAATTGGAACATGAAATGAGCTAGGAAAATAGGAAGGTGTAAAAAATTAAATGGAACATATAACGATCAATATCCTAGGCATTTTTATTGTTGTTAAGTGCCATCTAGTCACTTCTAACTCATAGCGACCATGTATAATGTTTCCAAGAGCAGCTGATGTGTTTGTACCGCCAAACTTTCGGTTTCAAACCAACCTTGTGGTCCTGTGCTTACCCTAGGGTGCCACACCAGGACTCCTGAAACTTACTGATATTGGCCATTTTAAATAAGACAAAGAAAAACAGTGTCACATTCACTGTGATAAGATAATATCCATACACCTATAAGGAAGACCAGAGTCCTGGTGTGGCACAGTAGGATATACACTGGAGTTCCAGCCTCAAGGTCAGCAGCTCACACCCACCAGCCACTCTTCATAAACCCTATACAGGGTCTCTATAAGTCAGAACCAACTCCATGCCTCCATAAAAGCAACAACAAAGACCAGTTCATGTAACTATGATTCAAATGTACACACAATCATTGAAAATGCTTACCAACTTCTGCAATCTTAAAATGGTCCAAAATGCAATCAGGATACATTGATATTTAATGGTGAATGAAGCAAGAAAGTTGGAAACAAAAAAGGATCAATAGCTGTAAATTACGGCCTTGGTGATAGAAATTATGTCAGAGATCACATGATAGAATGCTGTAAGACCAACAACCTATTCATTGCAAATACCTTTTTTTTTAGATTTGAAGCAATGGAGTTGGTGTACTACTCTCTCTTTTTTTTTTTTTTTTTGTAATGCTTTATTTATAAAGGAGCTCTAATAGCGTAGTGGTTACAAATCGGGCTGTGAACTGCAAGGTCAGCAATTCGAAACTACCAGCTGTTCCGCGGGAGAAAGATGAGGCTTTCTGCTCCCGTAAAGATTTATAGCCTCAGATACCCTGTACTGGGTCGCTATGAGTCGGAACCAACTTCACAGCACATAACTGTTGCAGACCGTGTAAGCCTGGTCAGAGGTTCGAGGCCCTATAGGCCCGAGTGTAACAGATCTAGCTACTTGACAGTTAGTGGCAAATTGTTTTATATGTTGCAGACCGTGTAAGCCTGGTCAGAGGTTCGAGGCCCTATAGGCCCAAGTGTAACAGATCTAGCCACTTGGCAGTTAATGGCAAATTGTTTTTCATCTTAATATCTGGTTATGTTTTATTAATTGCAAATACGAGCCCTTATTATCCACAGAGAAATATTAGAACCTCCTAAAGCCGAGACTAAAGGTTTCAAAGTTCAAGCCTTTCTCCAAAGGATTAACTAAAAATATCTTAGCTACTTCACAGTTCTTTGTTCTACAGACAAAAAAGCCATCCTCCCTGAATCTCTCCCAAGTGTTAGCTATTCAGCCAAGTTCCTGAAAACCTGGCTCAGGAAACCGAAACAGTTTTGTCCTTACCTCTCACCTTCCCCCAACTGAGCTCAGGGGCTATATATATGTTAATTGAGCCTGAGAAGCCAAGTTGCGGGCCTGGGATTCGAACCAGCGAAGTACGATGTAAAGTTACCTGAATGTCTGGAAAATTACTGATGTTAGCTGTATCCTGTTTTAGTCCCTCCCAGCTTGGTGTGAAGCTCCTCCCCTAAATAAAACAGAGGCCCAGGCCTCCCCAGGTGTGCATTACGGGTTGGAGGGCATGCAGTACAGATTGCAGGGCAGTGAGTTGCTGCCTACAGAGGCCATGATGCCTGTACTCCCAAGTCTGCCCACCAGTGATGTATCCACCCTGGCTTTGGGGTGCCTCATTGTCTCCCTTCTTCTGTCTGTCTGTGTATTCTTTTGCTATCTCTATCGTCGCCAGGTATCTCCTCCTCGTGAACCGAACCCCTATGTCGAGGCCGGTCCCCGACACATAACAACAACAACATTGTGAATTCTGTGATAGTTTACATGGGAGAACATTACCTTTACATTCATCCTATCATATATCATTTCATTGCCATGGTTACAATCCCCTCCACGCATCATCAACTAACCCCTCTGCCTCTCTGAGTCTAAAGTCCCCAGCTGCTCCCTTTCTCCACGTCATCATCTCTGCCTCCATCTCTGGCATCACTGCTTCTCTGGGTAGGGTCCTGCTTTCCACTCTTCTCCCTTGATGGTCCCAGGGACCTCCGTTCCTAGAATGCATAGTCAATCACTCCCATCCTTTTGCTACAAAATGTCTACCTTTCCATTTCCAACTCTCACAATTAGTCCTGATAAAAATTATTCACTATTGTATCACAAGAGACCTATCCACATTTCCTTTCATCAGCCCTACCCACACAGACTGGATACTACTCACTGGAGATTCTACCTTCCTCCATGCCCTCTGGATCTAGGTTCCCTCTTGAAAGCTTGTAAGCCAGTCACTTCTTGCCATTGTAGCCCCCCATTTGGGTAGCCAATGTCCAAGTGCCCATCCTTGTCTACTCTGTGTATGGAGGGGGTAGGAATACAAATTACCTTTTTACAACATAAATGATGACTATACACATGGACCTCAACAGATGGAATACACATGAATCAAATCAACTACATACACACACTTACCATATTCTGATTGCTGACGCCTGAAATAAAATATAGCACATATGCATTGCTGCTTTTGTTGTTAAATGTTGTCGAACTGGTTCTGATTCATAACAACCCTTACAGGGTTTTGCAGTCCAGTGCTGATCCATAGCAACACACCGGAAGTCCCATACATTCATTACTAATACGTAAACCCACAAGGAACCTGGAAGGTAACTCATTTTCTTCTGGTGGGAACCCCACAGTCAAGAAAAATGCTGACGTCCACTTGATACTAAAAATAAGTTTTGTTTCTGTGTCTCCCAAGGGCAGACCATTCTTAAACCACCTTCAGGGCAAAGCTCTGGACAGCGAACCAAAAGATCAGCAGTTCAAACTCCCCAGCTGCTCTGAGGGAGGAAGGTGTGGCAGTCTGCTTCCATTAAAGTTACATGTGGAAACCCTGTGGAAGAGTTGTACTCTGTCACGAAGTCACTGAGTCAGAATGAACTGAATGGCACCTGACAACAACTCAGAAAGACCTGGAACACATTGGATCAGGAGAGAAACTGAAGGCTGTGGAATACTCTTGCTTGAATAAGTTGCTTCCAACATATTCACAAAAAATTATTTCCTATCTTATCAATTTATACGCAAAAACAAAGTTCTAACATAAAAAAGAAAGCCTTCAGAGAATTTGTGGACCATCAACTTTATAAATTCTAACTCATAGAGATTTCAGTTTTCAGAATGGGAATCATTAACTATCTCCCTCAGAAGCAAAAGCCTCTCAACGCCATGCTACCGTGATTTAGGAACTGGTTTCTTACAGTCTACTTATGCAGCTGTTCCAGGGGTAGACAATGCATACATACTAATCAGAGTCACTTCTCACAACAACCACAAAGACTTAGGATCCAGCCAGGGCTCACCTGAGAGGGCTCAGGCACCTCAAGGGGGCTGTGGGGAACAGGCAACATGCATGACAGGATCCAGAGAGCAAAGGGAGTGTGTGTTTGCACCTCTTTGCCCAGGTGAGTGGCTTACCAGCATGTCGGTGGCACTGAGATAGTGCTTGCTGGCCATGCACCGCTCCAGCTTCTGGGGCACTTGCTTGATATTCTCAATTTCATCCAGCAGGTTCAGGACGTGCTTGTGTTCGATTCCCTCGATCCACAGTTTCCTGAGCTCATCCCTTTTGCAATGCAATAGCATCTTACAGGAGAGCAGGTTCTCTTTCACCTACAACGAGACAGAGGCGATCTGGGGTCAGTGCAAAGTCTTGTAACCCAGACCTGTATGAAAGGAGCGTAGTGGTTACGAATCGGGCTGCTAACCTCAAGGTCAGCAGTTCAAAACTACCAGCTGTTCCGTGAGAGAAAGATGAGGCTTTCTACTCCTTGAAAGATCACAACCTTGGAAACCCTGTACAGGGTCGCTATCAGTCAGAACTGACTCCACAGCACATAACAAAAAAACAACAACAGTTCCCCACTGGAACTTGTATATGTAATTCGCAAGCAGCTTAAACCCCTTGGGTGGTCATCTTGCAAAATTCTAATCCTGGTGCTGACATTGAGACAGACACACTTGGACATGTTTCAACCTCTCTGTGTGTGTATTGTCTCTGGTATGAAATGACCTACCTTTGAGTCTAGAAAAATTACCTATGATATAAAGCATGCTGAAAATCTGAGTACCACACAGATACGAGCGTGTCTATGGAGAGAGTCTACTCTTTTTCCTCCTCCACTGGACCTTGCAGAGATCCTGCACACCTGGAAGAACCTTCTAGCTCTTCAACTTCCGCCAAAGTACCAACCAACAAAATAGACATTCATATCAATGGACTAAAAGAAAAAAGTTTCTAGAGTAGAGTAGTTGTGGTATGGTGTTTTTTAAGTGCTGTTGAGTCACTTCCAACTCATAGCAACCCTGTGTAGGGTTTCTGAGAGCAGCTGCTAGTTTAGATCTGCTAACCTTGTGGTTAGAAGTGCTGTGCTTATCCTACAAATTATTGCATTGCTGTAGGTTTTTACAACTAAATGCAGTAGGCAGGCAACAGGGGGAAAGCAACACGAGTCCACTAGGGGATGGTCATGGTTTCCAGATTGAAAAGGCACACCAAATGCTCAAGACAATGGGTGAAAATGACCCAAGCCAGGGCACCTTAACATGAAACATAAGAACACAAAGACAGACCACCAAAAAAGCTTCCAAAGGAAAAAACCAAACAGGACCCAGACAAAGGACTATGAATCTGAAAGGCATCAGACTTTTCATAAGACCCACAAAACAAAGGAGCAATACCTTCAAAACTCCAAGAGGGAAGTCTTTTCCAGAAAAAAAAAAAACTATCAATCAAGTGTGAGGATAGAATAAAAACAAATTCTAGGGGGAACAAACAAGATGGCGGATCGGGTGAACGTATAGCAGAGAGCTCAGCCAACAACAACACAGAATACCTGACCAAGCAGGCTCAGGGGATGGTCCCAGAACTCTGAACCGCATATAAAGGAATACTTAGAAGGTTGGAAGGCTCACAGCTGGGAGAATTTGTGGCAGAAGCAAGAAATCTATTGCTTTCTAGTCCGGGACACTCGGCTGCTCCAGGAGCTGCCATCTTGGGTGAGACCACGTGGGGGAAGGATCAGAGCGGCCACAGATGCCTGGCAGAACCGCTGAGATAAAAGGTGTGGACATTCTTCTCTTTTGGTATCTGTTCATTGGTCCCTTGCTGTCTGCGCACTTCCATTCTGGTGACTATAGGGGTGCCTGAGCTAGTGGGCACCCCAGCCCCACCCTCGGAGGGTTCTACTACGCATGCGCACAGATCTCCTCGAAATTTAAAGAGACAGTTTCCAATTAAAACCAAACGGCCACAGCCGGCCCTGAACTGTTTCCAACTAGAAACAAGTCCTGAACGGGGATTGTGGAGCGGGACAAGCAGACAAAAGAGGAAGTAGGCCGAAAATTAAATCCATCTCATTAGGGGTCTTCCTCTTTTTCTCTGACCCTCCACCTTATCCAGCATGACATCCTTCTCCAGCGACTGTTTCCTCCGGACAATATGTACAAAGTAGGAGAGACGAAGCTTAGCCATCCTGGCCTCCAAGGAGCACTCTGGCTGCACTTCTTCCAAAACAGATCTATTGGTTCTTTTGGCAGTCCATGGCACTTTCAGTATTCTCCTCCAACACCACAACTCAAAGGCATCAATTCTTCTACGATTTTCCTTATTCACTGTGCAGCTTTCGCATCCATATGAGGCTATTGAAAATACCATGGCATGGGTCAGGCGCACCTTAGTCAATATTTCTGTTGTTATGAAAGGATAACTGACTATCGACTTAGCCAAGAACTAGGATACAATCAGAGAGAGGAGAGAAGATGATGGAAGAAGATGAGGCGAGGCAGGAAAAAGAATGAGAAGGCCTGGACCCTCATCTTCCATAGCTGGAAGTCAGCACACAATATCTAAAATAGGGGAAGAGAAGAATGTATATATATTATGTAGAAATATAAAAATAGAAATACCTGAAGAAAACCATTGAAAGTAAAAGTCAGTGAGTGCCTCAGATGTATGTGCTAGATACTTGGTAGCATGAGGCAGGGAATCTGGTTTTTAATCAACACTTGTGGTTTTATTTAACTTTTTACACATATTCCTAGATTTCCTGGGAGTTCTTGGTCCTTGGGTTAAGAACTCCAGCTAGCCAATCCACTCTATTTTAAATCTTAGTTAAATCTGTTAGAATTTGATTTCTGATATTCTACACATTATCGGTTTGGTTCTGTAATTCTCAGCTTTTTCTTCGGCAGGCAGTGGTTACTATGGAAACAGTTTAAAATAAATCTTATGTCATACAACACCCAACTATGCTCTTGATCAAGAGAACAGGGGATAAACTTACGGAGTGTCGGTAAATCTTGGCAAAGACCTTCCCAAGTGGAAAAAGAACAAGATGGCATCTTACACTAGGATATACACAATGTAGTCAGCTTGCTTCTCACTTTTGCTTACTCCATGGGAGAAGATGTGAAAAGGAAGGTAAAAATTTGTGAAGAAACACTTTGGCATCAGGCTATGTAGAAGCTGAGCATCGCCAAAATTATCCCCTAAACTGAGGTAACCAAAGCTGGAAACATGAGGAGCCGTGTTTTCCTATGTCCTTTGGAGTCAGTTCTGACTCACAGTGACCCGATAAAGGGTTTCCAGGAGCAGCTGGTAGGTTTGAACTGCTGACCTTGTGGTTAGGAGTCCAGTGCTTAATACACAGTGTCACACCAGGGCTCTAGCGCCATAAGAAGTTTTAATACTAAACTACCCTGAGGTGTCAGCGTTTGGACTGAAATGTCACAGTTATAAGGAGACGTCCATTGAAAACCTGAGGAAAGAATACTACTCAGCAATCAAAGGGAAGAAACGTGAAAAACCTCAAAACCATGACGCTGAACAAAAGTCAGACACGAGAATACACACTGGGTGACTCCCTTTTTTCTATACTGTCCTAGAACAGGCAAAACCAACCCATCCTGACAGAACTTAAAAATCAACAGTTGCTTGGGGCAGGGTGTGAGGAGAACTGAGGATGAGGAGCCAGAACGAAGTAGCTGGTTGGCTGGACACTTTTCAGAGTAGAGACATTTGCCACAGGCTTACTGACCTGTACTCTCAAATCTGTGTGTCTTGAGAGTATTCTAGTGTCTGTAAGTTTTACCTCAATAAAGACAATCTTAAAAAAAAAAAAAAAGGTAGGGAAGGAAATAAAGCTATGTCCATCAGAGAACAACAACATGTAAATATGAGAAAAGTTCCAAATTATTCCTAAACATTTACTCATATTTCTCAAATTCCTGATCTATGTTCTACTTCCATAAAGGTGGTATCTTAATTCTACTCTATTTCATTTCTAAAGGTAATCAAAACTTTCTTAAACAAAACCATGAACCTAGGCAATTCAAAGTGTGACATCAAAGAGAAGCACAGAAATCCTTCCTCAAAACCCAGTGTCCTTCCTTTCCTCAGAATTCTAATCAAGTCATAGTTGTTCCTAGTCACCTGGTCAACAACAGTTTCAGAATACAGGAAGTGCAAACTCACTGCTGTCAAGTTGATTCCAACTCACAGTCAAACGCTATAACACAGGGCAGAACTGACCTCTATGGTTTCCAAGGCTGAAATCTTAATGGAAGCAGACTGCCTCACTTTCTGCCTTGAAGCAGCTAGTGGGTTTGAACTGCCAACCTTTAGGTTAACTGTCCTGCGCTTTAGTCACTGCATCACCAGGGCTCTTTTAAGAAGTGCTTAGAAAAAGAGAAAAGGACTCCTGGTGGGGCACTGTAAGATAAGCGCTGGACCACAAAGGCAGTTTGAACCTCAAGCTAGGCAGTTCAAATTCACCACATACTCCTAGGAAACCCTATACAGGTTGCTATGAGTTGGAAACGACTCTACGGCACTTACTGCTGTTACTGAGTGCAGTCGACTCGATTCCAACTCAAAATGTCCCTGTATAAGGTTTCTGAGGAGCAGCTGGTGGAGTTGAACTGCTGACCTTGTGGTTTGCAGTCCAGGGCTGATCCTATAGCCCATGGCACTTAGCAACAAGAAAAAGAGGAACTCCGGACCAGAGGGCCTGAGGGGCTGTCGGGACCTGAAATGTGAAGGGACGCTGACAGCAGAGAAGACTGTTTGCAACCTGACTCCAGGACAGAAGGAGATGAGGAAAGCCTTGGGTCAGCACTGTGGGGTGTTGGAGCAAGTGAACCTTAATAACGCACTGGTTAAGTGCTCACTGCTCACCAAAAGGTGGATAGTTTGAACCTAGCAGTGGATCCCAGCGATCTCTTCCCATAAAGATTATAGCCAAGAAAACCACATGGGAAACTCAAATCTGTCACCATGGGTCATAAGAGTTGAAATCAGCTCAATGGCACACAACAGAGACAAACATCTGAGAGAAGGAAGGAGCAGAGATCACTTCAAAGGGGCTCCTTGGTGTTGTTGTTAAGTACCACTGAATCGGTTCCAATTCATAACAACCTGGTACAGGGCTTCTGAGGAGCAGCTGGTATATTTGAATCATCAATGCTGCAGTACAAATCGAACTTTTGGTTGAAGGCTTATCCTACAGCATCAAAAAATCCTACAACTGCAGCATCCCAATAAACAGAGAAGAGACTGATGATGTCAAGTACTTCATTTCATCTGCATCCAAAATCAATACCCATGGAAGCAG